ACCACCATCGACCACCACCGACAACCATCAAACACTGGAAACAACCCCAACAGCATGATAACCATCGTGAAACAGCACTTTAAGTGCAGGAGACCAAATATATGCTGCTTGATACATATAACGGATATAAAAGATATAGTTTCACTAACAAAAGTCAAATTCGGACAAATAAGGGAAATAAACTTCAAATTGTACAGAGAGTCATTTAGAAAACATTTCTTGTATTAATAATGTAAGAGTTATATACAACATTGTTAAATATCTGAGTACCACAAAAGGATCAACTAACTAATACTATCCGGACTCATGTATTGGAGTTAACTGATCTCCATCCTGTGTGTCCTCCGTCCGTCTACGAACACGCCTCGGACGCCTCGTGTAATGCTGAATGGTGGTGAATGGGTCTCGGGACGGTGGAGGAGTCAGCTAGCGAGACGATGAGTCATCCTGGCTGTGGCCGGGAGCGGTGTTATGGATGAAGTAATCCTCTGCCTGTGTAGAGCCCGAAGTATGACCTCCACCACTACTCTGTCCGAAGTCGAACTGTGAATGGAAGGAGTTGGGGTCATGATCGTCCCTGGGGTGGACGAGATGGCCATGGCCATATCTCTGGAAGCTATGTATGCCCATATCTCGCACCCGCTCAACCTGGACTCTGGTGGGTACGGCTGCTAAGGCATCTGAAAGTGCATCAACCATCGCACCCATATCCCCCGCCTGCAGTAATCATCCATGAATTAGTAATATGATATAGAATTTCAAATAATTTTGGAAAACAAGAAACTGAAAAAACTCACAAGTCCGCTGATAACATCATAAGCTGGATGGTAGTGCGTGGACGGTGGGGTGTAGGTAGGGTTGATGAAAAGGTGTGTAATCTGCCTGTACCATACCATGTAAGGATCACGCGGATCCATAACACCCTGAAACAGGTGACCGTCAACGATGGACTTCAACCGCTGGTCTCAAAGCTCAATGAATTGATGATGCTCCAGTGCCCAGTTTGTCTCCAACTTTCCACGACGGTCAATGCCGTGGAGGCGAATACTAGTGTCACAAGGCATGGGGATAGGCTGGTGAAGTCCGAACTGTCGCAACACTTGGTCCGGTAGGTGGCTCTCCACGACCTCGAAACAGATCATAGGGGTCCTGGCAAGCCACTCAGCACGATGCTCGAGCAAGTGTTTCGGCATGGCCTCTACCAACACAGCAGAATAGGGATCCCATGTCAGCTGCAACAAGGATATATCGTGAATAGGTTAGGGCAATGCCAATAAACAGTATGAAGAGTAAACAAACGATTACAAATTTAGTGCAAGATTCCACCTGGTCATCCGAGAGTCGATCGAGGGCGTCACGGTAGTAGAGAAGACCTCTCGCTGTATGCGCATGTGTTAGTCTGGGAACCACCCACCTGTGGCAACAAATTATTTAAGAAGTTGTACTAGCTAATTATAACAAAATTTGAGTACACAAGTATAATGTTACGAACCTACAACCGTATGCCTGAGCGGGTTCAGGGAGCGGGGGAGCATCGTATGCTGCGTACTGATCGTCCTGGTCCAGCTGCTCTGGACGGTGTACAACAGGCCTACCTGGTCTCCCTACATGGATGTGCTCCCAAGCCTATATCTGTTTTAAAAATCAAATAAAAGGTAAAGCATAAATAACGTCAAGTCATTATCAAACTAGGCTTAAGGATAATGATGAGGTTTACCTGTAACACAACCAAAGGACCTCCAATCAGCTGTGCTCCACGCTGTGATGCTCTACACAGATGGCGATACAAGACCGCCAAACAAGCACTACCCCAACTGTATCCACGGATCTCATCCCAGTCATGGTCTAACAGCTGCAGGTAAATAATCTGAAGATGGCTTCCACTCTTGTTTCCAAAGAGCACGCCCGAGATGAGCAGGAACAAGTAAGCTCGGGCGTATCTCTGCACTGTGGCGTCTTCAGCGTCCTGAGGTAAATGTACAAAAGTGTCGCGTAGCCAACCGGTCCTCAGCGCGCTGCCCCTGATCTCATTTGGCTCTGGCTGAACCCCTAAAACCCGACCTACTAAACCTGCGGGGTCAAGTACCACACCCCCTGTCACCGTATTCCCATGGATGGGTAGGCGTGTGAGTATCGCGACGTCCCGCAGCGTGACTGTCGCCTCCCCCACAGGAAGATGGAAGGAGTGTGTCTCCTGCCTCCATCTCTCAACTAATGCTGTGATAAGCCCTTGATCTATTTCTCTGTAGCCCACGCGATGAATACCACCAAAGCCAACCCAGTCGACGTACTGAAGAACGCGTGGATCGACTGCCAGCCGGACCTCAAGTGCCTGCACCCCAACATTTCCGCTATGTCCACCTGGTAATTCATTTAAAAACTGTAAATAAGGGTCAAGTATACAAAAAAAACAAGACAAATCTGTATATGAAATGGCACGTGAGAAATTACCGGCTGCTCCCATATGTCAACACTCCGATGTCTATCCTGCAGTGTAAGGACAGAAGGGTCAAGTGGTCCTGGTATCTGATCGTGTCCGACCATGATATCTGTTCATTCAAAACAATATGGCCAAACTAATTAAAAAACAGAATTACTAGTCAATGAAATTGACATGACTGTCACAGGTAAAAGACAAGTACGAAATATAAGTCACCAAATCTCAAATATAATCCAAGCGTTACAAATGTTACATAACGTCATTAATCAACTACTACATGAGTCTACTGTTCTACTACTATAGCTAAACAATTACAAGCTTATGTTTCGGTTGATCTAGCTGGGCACGTTTTGCGATTGTGACCTTGTTGGTGACAGCGGCTGCATTTAGTCTCATTTCTTCTTGCAACGCAGATGAAGGACACTCTCATTTGAGGTCACTGTGGTGTAGAATTGATTTCTCTGTATAGAATACATCTTCACCATTTCTTGAAGCGTTTTCTTACTGTCAAAGTACATCCCCTTCTCGAATTCTCCCCCTGGAACAAATGATGTATGACTCCCTGAATTGGCCCAATACTCATTAACTTCATAATTCTCATTTATCTGACTAAACCAGGGTACTGCAGTTCTAACCAAGGGCTCATCAATTTCCATCTGCCCATCTTCAAGATCCATGTCATCAAGCCTATCATACTCCTCCCCATTATCATCCTCATCATCTGTATCCGCATACACATCGTACACCGACAATTCGTTATTCACAATATTATCAAAATGACTTGGGTCTTCTTGAGACGGTGATTCTTGAACCTCATCTCGCATCGGTGACGGAGCCACGGTGTTTGATGTTGAAGGACCGGATTGGCCGAACATTGTCACACAGCCCCCCGCATGTGCAGGTGATGCTATATGAGGACTAAACGGCATCTGAAATTGATCATCATGCAGCAAGCGACTGAAAGTTCCCATCCCATATTCATTCGATGGAATGTGGTTTGAAGGGCCTTGGAAGGACGCGGTGTTGTAATCGGAGACATATGTAGGATGTTGTTCTGCCCAAGTACTTTGTTGGGTACATATAGGCACTGTTTCTACATATATCTCATTGGGAACACCCTTCATTGTAACAATGCTTCTCAAAGCTTTTAAATGTTTGTTTGTGGAGACAGGTAACACTTGAACCCCATGCCCAGTCTCACACCTCATTTTAAGGTTCAGTTCAGCATTCATTGGGTTTGAGCCGATACTACTGTGAACCTCATTCATCAGATCATTCACAGTCATGTTCGGTTCAAGTGTTATAAGTTCCATATTCCCTCCACTGTACTCAACATTTGATCCATCGCACATAATTTCACCTCCCCACCGGCATAACAACACTACATTTTGTGAAGCCATATTCTACATACCAACCAAAACACATTTAAGGATAATCGAATTCTAAAACAACGTCAAAAAACCCTAATTTAACAATACATAACATACATAGCTTCGATAATGGAAAGTTATATCAAATTTCGAGAACCTACATGTGTAGCTAATATGACAACAATGAAACAAGTCCATTCTCATTATCAACATTTTCATCACCAATTTCATAAACTCTTAGTACCGCATACAACTATCAACATACTAATACCGCATTACCATCAACAATTTTATCATTTTTTTCACAATAATAGACCACATTACCATCAAGAATTTCATCAAAAACAAACCACATTATCATTGACAATTTCATCAACAATTTCGTCGACAATTTAATCAACACTTTCGTCTATATTTTTCCTCAACAATGTACCACATTATCATCAATAATTATCAACAATTTATCACATTTCATTAGCAACAAATTAATACAATTTACATCACAATTTGCTACAACATACAACAACTATCTACTACCAACTATTCAATGTAAAATTCAACAATGTACTAAAAATTTAGGGTTTACTCGGATTTAAAGAGTGAGTGAGACAATGCCGGCAACAACTTCCGTTCACTTTGGCGGCGGCAGGGGCGGCGGCACGGCAGGGGAGGCGTTGGCAACGGCTGTGGTTCTTTGTTGCTGACAATGAGAGTTAGTGAGAGAGAGAGTGTAAATTGCGTGAAAGAGATTGAGAAAAAAGGCCTGGAATTCGTTATAATTCCCACAAGAAACGCTGCCTGAGGCAGCGTTTAATGTACAGATAAAAACGCTGCCTCAGGCTGCGTTTTATGCTTGTACATTAAACGCTGCAGCGTTTCATTTAAAGATATAAACGCTGCCTCAGACAACGTTTATTTGTATAAAACAGGTATGAAATACGAAGTTTTTGAAAAAAGTCAAACTACCAAAAAACGCTGCCTGAGGCAGCGTTTTATGTCTTGAATTTTTTTTTTAAAAAACTGAGTGTAAAACGCTGTCCGAGACAGCGTTTCACCTCAGAAGCTTAGTTTGGGAAATACTTTTGCCACGAGACCAATTTCGTAAATAATTTCCGTATAAAGCTTCATTTGGGAAAAAATCCGAGCAATTGAGAGTTGCATCACTCGCAAGCCAACACAACACAACACTGGCGCACTCAACTCCCAACAACAACACACTAAACACAATCGAATTGAATGTCTATGCGCTGCTTCGCATTCTCCACAACAAGTGTTCCAACCACTTTCTCTCTCCTCAAACACCTCACTTCTTCTTCCATTTCCAAACCTCCTCTTCTCCTTCTCCATTGCTCTCTCTCAACATCCATGTCTTCCCGCCCTAACTTCCAAGGCGGCCGTCGAGGCGGCGGCGGCAGAAATCGCGGCGGAGCCGGCAATCGTGGCGGCGGCGGTAGAGGCGGCGGCGGACGGGGAGGCGGTGGCGGAGAGCAGCGATGGTGGGACCCTGTTTGGCGAGCTCAGAAGCTTGCGCAGAAAGCAGCTGAGGTGAAGTTTTGCTTGTTTTTTTTCTTGCGTGTTTATGAAGTTTCTAATGTTTGATTAGATTGTCAGTTTTGATTGTACAATTGATTTTTAGGGTTTGTTTTGTTGATTAATTGATTGGAGGTTTGTTGTTGATGATGTAGTATGAAGTGTTGGATGAGAATGAGTGGTGGAATAAGATGGAAGGATTTCAGAAAGGAGGAGAGCAGGAGTTGATAATTAAGCGTCTTTTTAGGCGGGAAGATCAACAACTTCTCTCTGATATGGCGCAACAGCTTGGTCTTTACTTGTAAGCAATTGCATTTCAAGTTATTTTATGGTTTTGGTGGGAATGTATTGAAAATATTGTATCAACGTGTTTCTGCTGATTGTTGTTCTTGTTTGATATGCATTTATGGCCTTATGGGCGTGCGTGTGCGTAAGTTGTATGTTGATTCTTACGTTGTATGTTGACGTTTGTTGTGTGTGTGCGTAAGTTATATGCTGAAAACACTGTTTTTTTTGCTGCTGTTTGATTTGCGTGTGCGTGCGTGAGGGTAAGTTGTACTTCATCCGTTTCTATTTAGTTGACGCATTCAATTTAGACACACATATTAAGGAGAGGAGAGAGAATAATACAACAAGTGAGGTAGATTAGTAAATGCAAAGTATAAAACTTACCCAAACAGAAAATTTGTCAACTAAAATTAAACTTCCTAAAAAAAGAACACGTGTCACTAAAAAAAAGGAGGTAGGGGAAAAAAAAAATGAAAAAATACTATGGATTTTGTTGTGACCAAAGTCACTAGAATGAGTTTAGATTCACCGAATCGTATGTATGCAATCCTTTCAATTGGTGGTGTTTTGAATGGCTTGGAACATGGGGTTATTGTTCGTAGCTAAAGCTTTAGGGCCTGTTCTCATACGTTTATTTTCAGCTCAGCTCAGTTCAGCTTTAGGGCCCTAAGTGTAATATTCTTTGCATGTCTTTTTTATTGGCCTTGTTAGTCCAGAATAATCATCATGAAGAGGCAAAGATAGAAATATAGAATACAACAAAACTAATGCCGAAGCAGTAATAGATGGGTGCTGTCCACGAAGATTCTCTTCCTCCATTCACTTATATTAAGTGCTAGATACTCTTGCAAACCTATTTTCTTCACATTATCTTTACCTTTTCAGTTCAAATTATTTTGGCATATCTTGACAACTTTTAACGTCTCTACAATCCCAGCTCTCGCTCTTTGAAAAATTGACACAAGTACTTCAATACTAATTTAGGTGTAACTCCTTACCATTTCATATCACTACATTAGTACATCCTCTTTTGGCTCCCTCTTAGTAGTATTAAAGTTTTCACTCCATATACTCAATAGTAGTCCAACTCACCTTAAATCCTCAAGAATTTAACCAGTAACTCCATTACCCTAAATTAGCATTAACTCAGCTCTACTTTCGTCCACTAATAATATCATATGCAAACGATATTTACCCTGGTCTGATCCCAGATAAACCATAGTTGAGTATAACCGACTTTACAGTGTTTAGGGGACTTTATAGTGTTTGGGAAGTTTGCATCCAGAAGTTTCATTCCAATTTTGGCGATAAATCTTGAGCTCGAACAATATCCTCAATATGCATAGAAAAATGACCACCAGCATATCTATGTTTGACTTTAAGACTTTGTTAGAACTTAGAATCCTATCACATTTCTAAATCCTTTTAACTATAACCATTTACTCAAGACAAACACTGCCCTTGTTCTTGTATTTAATCAAACTTTCCTAAATTTTCTGCCCCCTTCTATTTGATGTAATTATACCTTGTGTTGTAATCTTCAGTAATTCTGTTGATGATCTTTCATATATGTGTTTATTTAGCTTCATCATATCTTTAGAACTATTCTCCTTGATTTTTTTTGTATATCTAAGGTGATATCTAGAAAGAGAGAAGGGTAGTGTGTTTTTTTTTTGGGGGGGGGGGGTAACTCCTTTTGAAGCTTTGTCATTGGCCTCAGATATGTCTCTTAGAAAGGCACCAAAAATCTTGTTGATCTCAAAATATTCATTCATGTGCTTGCATTTAGATACATGGAAGGCCCAACTAGGAAAGAGAATCTCACTAATGTGTGCCATTAAATATCTGAGTGGACTTACAATTTTTAATGCCCCACCCCTATCCCCGCATTATGTTTAGACGAGTGTCCATTGTTTATGTATTTTAGATTATGGTACTATAAAGTTCATGAATCATTCAGATTATAATTTTGGTTTAACTTGTCAAAAGTAGCCTGTGTTTTTAGAATAGCTGACCTAACTGATTTTTTTCTCCTTGAAATTGTTTATGGTGGTTGCTTCATTTTCCATTTTTCTCCTTGTTTGGCGTTTGTGGGAAGAAAGCCATGCATATAATAAAGGAAAGACACTTGTTGCGAGCAAAGTCCCTTTACCAAATTATCGTGCAGATCTAGATGAACGTCATGGATCAACGCAGAAGGAGGTATGATTGCAAAAAGTGGATGTATATATATATATATATATATATTTTTTTTTTTCTGGCTGATCTTTTACTTTAATTTACAAATACTATACAGATACGGATGTCTACAGACATTGAGAGGCGGGTTGGATCATTATTGGATACCTCTAAAGGTGAAAGTTCTACTGAAATTCCACTGGTGCATCTTCTCAAACTTCTAAGAATTCACCGTCAGCAAAAAGCTTTGTGAAACCAGTCTCCGTGTTAGAGAGTAATGTTGATAAGGATAAAATCAGTGCTGAACTCAAGCAGCAGGAAGAGAAGTTGAAGGTTTGTCTTCTTTTGATTTTGTTTTCCTTCCATCATGATTACTAAATTCACTGCAATCTCAACCTATAGAAATCATATCTTGTGACTATCCTGAGTAGGTTCTGTACTCTCTGATACATTTCATTTTTGTTTGTTTTTAGGCAAGTGCAAATGTGCAAGCCATGCAATCATTCAGAGCAAAGCTCCCTGCTTTCAATGTGAGAACTGAATTTCTAAAAGCTGTTGCTAAAAGTCAGGTGGGTTCTTTTATCTCTAGTTTGGGTTAACCTGTTATCACGGGGTGATGGTGTGATTGGCTACAGTATGTAGAATATAGCTAGCTTCTTATATTGCATTCTGATATATTTTACTTTAATATTATTTGAATTATGATACCTGTATATGCATGAATGAATTACTTTGGATACTTGATTTTTGAACTCTAGATCTCCTTTATTATTGATTAATAGAGGTTTTTGTCTCTTAACTTTATTTAGAATTCTTACTTTGGTTAAAAACTTAATATTATCTCTTTCTCATGAGTTATTTGAAAGCAGATTTTTTATTGCAGAGGCTTCATTAGTCTTATATGCTCTGATGTTTAGTTGCAACATGAATTGATCTCTTTCCTTGTCCTTTTGTCCTCTATACCTTCTTAGATAAGGAATGTATTGATTGTTTGCTACATGCATTGAATTATTACTCCTCCTGTCCCTTAAAGTATGTAACAATATCCTTTTAGTCATGTGGTCTTTTTGTTGTACTCTCCCTGTCTCTTATCAAAGCTCTGTTGTTTCTCCAATTTATTTATTTTTTAATCTGGCCCATTTAATAAAACATTTAAAAGTGCAATATGTGCTTTTTTGCATACCATAAGGGCTGAGGGAGTACTTAGTTTCTGCATTTGACTATTGATTTACAGAACTAAGCAAAATTTTTCCTGAAATTATTCTACATGATTTGTTTTGTTTTTGTAATTGTAGGTCCTAGTTGTGTCAGGGGAGACTGGCTGTGGTAAAACAACCCAGCTCCCACAGTTCATTTTAGAAGAGGAGTTTTCATTGCTGCGTGGTGCTGATTGCAGCATAATATGTACACAACCACGTCGTATATCAGCTATATCTGTTGCTGCTCGTATATCATCTGAAAGAGGAGAGAATCTTGGTGAAACTGTTGGCTATCAAATACGTCTGGAGACAAAACGTTCTGCACGGACATGGTTATTGTTCTGCACAACAGGAGTTTTACTCAGACAATTGGTAGCTTCTATTGATCATTTATGGATTATTATATGCAGCTCTGGTGTGTAATGAAGTGTGTCTTTATTATCTTTCTTTACTCAGTCTCAACACGTAAGGTTATATTATAGAAAGTTATTTGTGTGTATGTGGACTATTTACATTACTGAGGCTCTTCCTTTCACCCAAATTGGATTAGGTATCCAGGTTAAGGTATTGGCATTATAATGTAATACTTAGATACCTCATAGAAATCAGAATACCATGAAAACCCCCACAATTAGCTGAGTTAATTCCCCCTGGTACCTTGGTAATTTACTGACAATATTAGCTGAGGTTTGACTGATAGCTTTGTTAAACTATGGTTCCATATGTGGTGATACCTGTATAGCTTTCTTCATATAGCTGAGCTTGAGCTTACAAATTTATGTTTGCTTGGGAAAAATGTTCTTGCATGATTGTAATTTTTATTAATATATGATGCATTGAGATGTTTTTCTTGCAGCAGTTTTACATTTGAGTTATTACATATGTCTGGGCAGTGTAGTTCTATGGTCATTCACATAAAAATAATTGAATATTGAAGAATCATTCACATGTCAATATTTTTCATTAGTTCTACCGTCACGATAGCCAAAGCCGCATTGTGAATATGCTGATTTAAGCACAGGAAATTGTGCATATTCATCTATGACATTATCCGGTAACTAATGGGAGATTAAAGGAATGCCCAATTCCTATCTCCTACCAATTTTGATTGGCAAGGTGAAGTTAGATTAAGAAAATGTCATTGGTTTTATATCACTAATTCAATATCGAGTTATTGTTTGTATGCTTGTAGAATAATATCGAGTCTTACACTTTCATAATAGAAGCAAATTATGCAAATTCATGTATTTGGTTAAAAGTCTATATGCATGGTGTAAGCTTTTATCCATCTCTTGGTTTCTTTTGTATCCCAGCATCTTGTTTTCTGTGTGCTTGAAGAAAGCAATGAGATTGTCCTGGTCTTACTTGTTATTTTCTGCTAATGTACAGGTTCAGGATCCAAATTTAACTGGTGTGAGCCATCTGCTAGTGGATGAAATTCATGAAAGAGGAATGTATGAGGACTTCCTTCTTATAGTATTAAAGGATCTTCTTCCTCGCCGTCCAGATTTACGACTTATTCTTATGAGTGCTACTATTAATGCTGACTTATTTTCCCATTATTTTGGGAATGCCCCTACTATTCATATTCCGGTATTGTGTATACTATAAAACATATTCTAATGATGAATGATCTGTACACCTATGTGAATGAATGATCAAGCATGTTAATTTTTTGTTAACATGTCTACAGGGACTGACTTTTCCAGTTGAAGAGTTCTTTTTGGAAGATGTTTTAGAGAAAACCCGGTATCGTATCAAACAAGAATCTGATAATTTCCAGGGCAATTCAAGGCGGCGAGTTAAACAATTGGATTCTAAAAAAGATCCTGTAACTGAATTATTTGAGGTATGCCTAAATTTTCTGTCTTAGGACTTCTGCTTTTATCTTTCTTGAAAACAATTGCTTTACCAGTTTACCCCTTATTTTACTTTACCAGTTTACCCCTTATTTTACTTTACCAGTTTACCCCTTTTTTAAACAAATGATTTTTGTGCGGGAAACCTATTTCGCCAGAAGGTTGTGGGGATGAGCAGTAGGAAATATGACTATTCTGGATTTTTTAAAAATTACTTAAAAGTGTGACTTTTTATGGATTTGGAGGATTAGCATTATGTGTTTCCATCTCCACTTCTATATAGTTCAAGGGTGTGGAACTTTTTTTTTTTTTTGACAAGAAAAAAAAGGGAAATCCTACAATATAACCCGCTACTTTTAGAAATTCTACGTTGTGCCCTTAGTTTTTGAAACTTCTATATAGTAACCCGCAAGCTCATTTAGTAACTATATAGTAACCTTGCCGTTATTCCACCGTTAATAAATTCCGTTAGTGGGGTCACTCTCCAATTTTTAATATTTTTTTTTTAATTTTTGTGCGTTGTAAAATGTTCTGTTAACGGTTTTAGGGGCTATTTTGGCCCTAAAGGGTCCAAATTGAGCTTAGATTTGCCAAAAAAACAAATGTAAATACCTCATTTTACATATTAAAATATAAACATGCAAATCAAGACATTTCTTAATACGCAAAACGAGGTATTTACGATTCATATTTGCCAAATTTGAGCTCAATTTGGACCCTTTAGAACCAAAATAGCCCCAAAACCTTTAAAGGAACATTTACCAACACGTAAATCGATAAAAAATATTAAAAATTGGGTAGTGGGCCCCACTAACAGAATTTGTTTGTGGTGGGATAAGGACAAGGTTATTGTATAGTTACTAAATGAAATTGCGGGTTACTATATAGAAATTTCAAGTAGTAAGGGCACGGCGTAGAATTTCTATAAGTAGCGGGTTATATTGTAGAATTTCCCAAAAAAAAAAAAAGTTCCACACCCTTGAACTATATAAAAGGGTGTGGAACTATTTATTACAATGACAATAATAATATTGTAGATATTCTAAAATCTTCATTTTCTTTTTTCTAGGCACTATTTCAGATGGTAATTTCGCTCAGTTTTAATTTTTATTATTTTAAAAATCTGCTAATTGCCCAGTTATTTTTGTGCTGTTTTGATAATCATTTTTCCTACTTTTATTATTCTTCTTATTATCTCACAATTTTTTGCTGCATGAGCTAATTTTTTTTTTTTTTTTTCCTTTCGATTTTTTTCTCTGAATTGCTGTGGAGGTTATGCTTATTCTTTATGTCTGTTAAGTATAGTGATCTAGGGCTGGTGATATGTGATCTTTGTTGTTTATAAGCTTCCATCAGATTCTCAAAATGCTAGATAATAAAATAGTTAGGCTATGGTTTCACATTCTTTTTTTAATCTGGTCTTTTTTCCCCCTCTTGCTTTAGTATTTTTTTGGTTTTTTCTTCTCCCTTTTCTTCTCCTCTTAGGTCTCCAAGATAGGTCATCACCTTGGCATACAACTATACAAGGGATCATCATCTAATAAATCCTCATCTTCAGAGAAGGCATTGTAGGGCGTTGCCAAAGCTGGTGTCAGCTGGGGCCATCTAGCCCGACTGGGATTCAACATTCCCCTTGGGATATCTCTAGTCTAAGTGAGCTTTCAAGCCGACAAGTTTTCAATGGGCACAACTTCTTTTCCTAATCAAGATGGTGGCCTTGTCATCTTGGTAGAGTGCATAAACTTTGAGTAGTCCTTTGCTTTTCGGCAGGTTGGACCAAATTGTCACTAACTCCTAGAAACGCCTTATTCGTGGTGTAACCGCGAAACCATCGGTTCACTTAGCTACTAGTCAACCCAGTAACATCATGGTCCTATCTTTCGAGAACCTTGCTTAGCCAAGTGGGGCAACATGGGTGGTTCTCATAACCGCATTCCACTACTCAACCTTCCATGAATCAAGGCAATCACATGCTCTCACACTATGGCTTAGTGAACCATCAAGGAACCACCACTTTATGTTCCCACCTAGGTAGTTGTGGCAGTTGTGGGTCGTGGCAGACCATCCCACCCCACAGCTCCTTCAAAGCACCCATCCCTTAGCCACGACTCACCTCAATTTCCGCTCATGCGAGATTCGAGTAGAACATCGGCGTAGCCACGTTCATTGCTCATGCGACAGTCTACACGCTTGCCTTGATTCTAGGAAGGTTAAGTTGTGGGACGGTAGGCGGTTATGGTAACCACCCATGTTGCCCACTCTTCCTAAAATGGTGGGACGATTATGTTGGCTAAGCATAGTTTCTAAAAGGAAATCCCCCAATTTTAGTGGGCTAACTAACGGTTAGGTTGACCAACAGTCAATGTCGATTAGTTTCAATACGCCATTAGCAAGGTGGTTCCTAGAAAATAGGAGCACCAAGTTAATGGTTAATTATCCTTGGATGTGGGCAAGTTATCCCAAGGAGATTATGCCACGTCCTAGAAATTATGCCACGACAACGGTGGTTCCTAAACTCCTAAACTGTAGGAACACTATGCTAGTGGGCGGTTATGCTGGATAATAGGTAGTAGGATCACCACTAATGCATGACTTCGAAAATATCAGGAGCACGACCTTAGTGGGTCTCGATAGTTATGTGGCGGTCACCTTGACTCTATTAATTTTTGTTGATTACTACACGGAATAGTCACTTTTGGTTTATGTAGCCGAACCCACTTATGGAATTAAGTCTTTGATTGATTGTCCTTGACTCTATTGAACTTGGATCGCCCCCATATAATGTGGACTAGCCTAGAATCATTAAAGGGAAGTTAAAGTAGTGGGCCATTACTTAAGTAATGGATGTAGTGGGCATAGTGGGTAGTTACTTCAATCTGGGCTATAGTCAGTGCCCATAAATAACCCTTCACATTCATTTATTGGAAGAGAATTTGGAAACTCTAAAGAGAATTCTTGTTGTAAGTTTGTGAGCCATAGTTTATAAAGTTAATCATATTTGTGTTTGTGCTTGTGACCTATCTTGTTTGTTTGTGTAACCTTGCTTATTGTGAGTGTGTGACTTGTCTACTTGGTCAATACGCCATCATGGGCTCTTAGTCGACGAAGAAAGTTAGCCTTAAAAATTTACCGTGCCAATTTGGCCTGGAAAGCAAAAGTCAGTGATAATCGTTGAGAACTCGTCGGCAAGGAAGCTCACTTACTGTAGAGACATCCTAAGGGGAGTCCTGGTGGGGCTAAGAAGCCTTATTCTCTTGCTAACTCCACCTTTGGACAATGGTTTTTGGTGCCTCATTCTACGAAGGAGCTTAAGGGTGTATTGGATGATAATCCCTTGTATGCCAAGGTAATGACCTATCTCGGAGGTCTTGTTGAAGATGTCTTGAATCGTTTGGTGGAACCAAGTGAAGGTTGGGGAGATGTTCGACATGGGGCCGCAATGGAGAAATGGTTTGGACAAGTTTGGGTTGTCAGCAACAACTTCATTTCTCACGTCTGTCCCTTCCAAGTGTTGTGAAGGACCTTGGTCAAAAGTGCTTCTCACAGTGCCTCGATAGGTTCGTGTGTGGGTGGTTGGACAATTGATGCTCCATTGCAAAGCAACCAGGATACTCTTCACCAAAGGAGAAGTACCAGGAGGTAGCTGTGGCGACTAACGTACTCAAAGATGCGGCTAAGTCGGTTGAGGTGATATTGTTATCCGATTATAAGGTAGAAGATGAGGATGCTGTTGGGACCAAGTCTGAGACCTTGGTAAGTTGAAAGGGGTATTGTTTCAGTGACGATGAAGGGAACTTAACACTTCCGTTGTCAGAGTACAATCCAACCACCCATGAGCAATCTTGCCTCAAGTTTTAGTTCATGCCATACTCTTCTTTGGTTCAAGATAACCTTTCTTGGTTTCCTTGTTTGTTTGCTTTAAGTTAACGTATCATTGTGATGGATTCGGGTCAACCGAACCTTATCCAGGTCTATGCTAGAAAGAAAAAAGTCAAGCACCATAAACAATACCAAAGGGCAGTAGCAGCGACATAGAGCATTTCAAGGCATCAAGACTCCAATTAAGTAGAAGACAAAAATAATTAAGAATAAGAGAAGGAAAGAAAGCAACCCTGCTTCTATTATATTTCTCATGGTTTTTCTATTTGTGTTAAGTAGTCACATGTTAGCCTTAAGGACAACTTTGACCATTAGCAATGTAGTATAAGTAAGGTAGTTTATGATGTTTAGAATTCGTCCAGAAAATTTTTAAGTAAGCACAAGAGATTTGCAACATCAAGTTGCTTGGAGATTGGTAGCCTCAAGCTACTACTACTTGTAATCCTTCGGTTAATTAATCTATGAACTATGAATCCTTCTTCTTCTAACTTGTGAGTGTATGTGAATTGTCGCTTAATCAGTTCCCGTCTATAACAATCATCTCATTTTTTTTTATTATTATTATTTATTTATTTATTTTTATTTATTTATTTTTATTATTTTTTTTTTATTTCTGCTTTCATTGCACATATGCATTTTATATGATGCTTTGGTATCAATGAAGTTTATGCTAAATTAGAATGATGTTGTAGTCTTAAGTTCCCTTAGAGGGTTATGTAGCATAGTAATTCAACGAGAATTACGAGATATATGCCAAATGTGGGCATCAAACTCAACTTGTAACCAAATATGCCTCTTTTACCTTTGTTAAAAACTTGGTTTTAAATATATTGAATCAGGGTGTGGGCATTAAGACCTTAAGGCAAAGGCCCTTGCAAATCATGTTAGGATTCTGAGAATGCAAATTGAAATAGGGGATAACCCAATGGAGTTAGCGCGGTTAAGGTTGAGAGTTACGCTTAAATGCCCGATTCTCGTGAATCACTAATGGGATGATGTCGAAGGATCTAATGGCACTACAAGGGAATGGACCCCCCTCCCCCATGAAACGAATAACACAAGTGTGAATCAGGGTGTGGGCATTAAGACCTTAAGGCAAAGGCCCTTGCAAATTATGTTAGCATTTCGAGAATTCAAATTGAAATAGGGGATAACCCAATGGAGTTAGTGTGGTTGAGATTGGGAGTTACGCCCAAATGCCCAATTCTCGTGAATCGCTAATGGGATGATGTCGAAGGAACTTGTGGCACTACAAGGGAATGGACCCCCCCTCCCTCATGAAACAAATAACACAAGTGTTTGATCTTGTGTGCTTGACTCATGGTTCGAAAATGCAGTTTCAGTCGCAATTGCGGAAACGGTCGCGCATTGCGTCGCGGAATTCACAATTTTTTTTTTATTTTTTATTTTTTTATTTTAAATTTTTTTATAATGTTTATTATGAATCAAAGTATTATGATTTTTCTCATATTATTTGGAATTTTATGTTCTTATGAGTACTACTTACTATGTATATTGTTAATGGAGTATGTTTTAAAAATTAAACCCCCTATGTGTGTGAATGTATGACTGTGTGGTAGAACAACTGAGTCTGATAATAATTGAAAAGGGGTAAAAGGGTGGGGTCATGTAGGAAAAATAAGAAGAAAAGAAGAAGATAGTGGGGTTAGGTCAAATTTCAAAGAAAAATAAAAGGGTAACCCTTCCTGCTATCATGCAATCCCCTCCCAACCACATGTTATTTATTCAGTAAAAATATATTTATGCTACATAAACAATCGACTTTAATGGAGAACTCGAAAGCTCGCCGGAAAACTACTAAAGAGTCTTGCAATATTTCTTAAAAAGACCCGATTCGCGTGTTACCACGGGCGATTCATGAGTATATCGGTTGAATCGGACGATTAAGTCCGAAAATGCACTGTATTTCAAAGATCCGCACCAAAACACTAAAACTCGGTTCGGTAAAAATGAAATCCATCACAAATCGTGATGGTGCAGCCGCATTTTGGAACCATGGCTTGACTTCATCTTCATGATGAGTAAGCAAGGTGGGCAACGTAAGTCCTATTTGTTTGGGCACATGGATGAGTGATGCGGTGTAAATCTGGATGTTTAAGTTCTTGTTGGAACCATTGGAACCTCTATGGAGTAGAGGCGGATGGCCTAGTGTATGTGAACAACTAGAGGGTTGTTCCCTTGTGAGGGGCTAGAGACGCCCTCGTCGCCCATAGGCACCTAAAAACGTTAGCTCTCAAATTCTCTCGTGAAAGGATGAGGCACCCTCGTCGCCCATAAGCATGAGGTGCCTTAGTTGCCCAAAGGCACGAAGTACCCTTGTCGCCCTATGGCACGAGGTGCCCTTACGCCCTTGGGCGCGTGACCTAGCATCGTTTATATGGAGAGGCAAAACATTCCTGATTAGGGTTTTAGGCGTTTATGGGCCGCATAAGGGTTTCTTGGGATGTGGGCCCCAGGAGAGCCGCACTATAGGGTTTACACTGGGTATTTTGGTAATTTATTCCCTAAGGGTATTTTAGTAATTTCACTATTTGCTGGAATTGGGCCCTCTTGAGGGGTGCAAACACCATGATATTTGAAAGATCCATGAAATGGAATGTACTATCGACTTCAGGAAATATGATATGGGACCCATAAGTGTGATTGCTTGACTATGAGGATGGAGAATGGGAAGTAAATAAGGTTATTATAAGCTATAACAACTTCCATGACAATTACTTGTATATAGTTAATTACTTTTCACGGGTTATTTTTAGTATGCTTGATTGCTTTGTGACGTAGGATTTAAATTATGAGAGAACTTTCCCGAGTCATTTTCTAAATCAATGTTTCTGGGCATCACAGTGTGGAACAATGTAAAAAAAAAAGCTCAGGTGCTATGAAGCGATAAGGGTTGTGCAGCGCCTTGGTGCGCCTCTTTGAAGTGAGGTGCACTATATAAACAGTTAAAAAAAATTGCTTCATGTGCACCTCAGGTGCGCCTTATTAAAAATGCCTCGCCTAGGCCAAAAAAAGCGCTTAACCCCTTTTGCCTTGCGCCCTAGCGCCCCTTAGGAGCGCTTTTTTAAACACTGGTGTGGAAGTCTACAGCTTTGTAGGCGTGCAAGCTGAGCCCTAAATCCCAACTACAAAATATTGTGTGCTCTCCTCTGAATCTAGAATTAAGAGAATTGCCTCTGTTCTCTAACTTATCAATTACTTCAACGGACAACGGATATGCTATTTTCTGATTGATTATCTTACATATGGGAGCTGTTAAAGGATCAAGAGGTAGATTATTGATTCGGATACCCATCAGATTCTCTCCATGCTTTTATTGGCTGTAAAGTTTTGAGTTGTTTATCCTATTTCTTGTATAGTATACACTAGATAATTCCCAAGCCATCCTCAGCTTTTTGAAATTAATAGTATTGAAATATAGAAGTCTTTAGAGTAATGTAACTCAATAGTCAATCATAATGATAATTAAAAAAAAAAAAACGATGCATTTCTTAGGCAAATTAACGATTTTGCAAAAAAACACACACACACACATATTAACACACCAAAAAAGGGGGAAAATTTCCTCCAATAAACTCACTTTAGTATAGGTATATAGATTTCACTGTCCTGTTGTCATCTGCAATTTCAATAATACTATAGCTTGAATTCTTCCTAATTACCTCCCTTTACTTTTTTTTCTATGGTGAGAGTCATTGTTGATGGAATATATTGAAATTTTTACTTTTGGATTTGTTTGTAGTTTTGTTGCCTGTTGATTATATTTCTAAAACCGATACTGATGTATTTGTCTTCACCTTTTTTTTTTTGTGGGCAGGATGTTGACATTGATTCACATTACCGGAGTTACACCATCAATACAAGAAAGTCTCTTGAAGCCTGGTCTAGTGTGCAGCTTGATCTGAGTCTTGTGAGTATTTAATAAGATTGCTAGCTGTTATCTGACTAGTATGCTTTCCTTCTTGCTTAAAACAACTTAGTTATGATGAAATTCATGGTCTTAAAATTAAAAGAAGATATATTAGTAATTCTTTTATGAGCATACATTGTCTGTTAATGAAATGCACTTTAGAAAGAAAATTTTGCTCATTCTTTTGCTTTCTGTCAGTTTACGGTTTGGCGTTTTTGTTTTCACTAAGTTTAAGCTTTTGGATCATGATCACTGTAATTGGTAACTGTCTCTGAACAATGTCATGATAGCAATGTTTTTATTTTATTGTTTTATTATTATTTTATGAAGCTGCTTATGGTAATTGGATATACCAGTGATTGCGTAATATATATGAAATGAATTGACTTTTACAAGGATATTGAGTTTTATCCTCTATTTAATATTCTGTACCTCTTTCTTTAGGTGATAAAAGACTTAAAATTTTCATGTTCTTTTCAATTGACTTTTGCGTGACATCTATGTGAAACCTCCGTTAGTTCTTTTGTTTGATCTGCTTGTAGGTCGAATCAACAATTGAGCATATATGTCGGCATGAGGATGAAGGGGCAATACTTGTATTTCTCACTGGCTGGGATGAAATTTCCAAGTTACTTGACAGCATTAAGGCGAACAATTTTCTTGGAGACACAAGGAAGTTTCTTGTTCTCCCTTTACATGGTTCAATGCCAACTGTTAATCAACGTGAAATTTTTGATAAACCACCTGCAAATACAAGGTTAGCTTTGTCTCGTGATCTTTGTAATTAAGTGGCCATATCTTATTTATTTATTTATTTTTTCCCCTTTAGTGCAGGATCTATTCTTTATTTTTTTTATTCTTAATCTAATACGAAGTACATCTCAATGTAAATGGCTTACTATTTTTGTTTTCTTTCTTTTTGCTGTGTTTGCCATGTATGATCTGGTTTACGAAACCAAGAAACTGCATTTTACCTGGAAGATTCCTTGTCTCAGAATAGAGGGGCTTCCTCCATCCCAACTTCTGTTGACCTTTAAGCATTATAAGTTATTAAGCAATTGTTGTGGTTATGGTTTATAAAGATTTTTCCCCAGGAGGTACGCAAAAAAAAAAAAAAAAAAAAAAAAAAAGAAAGGGAATGTTCGCTATCAGCATTGGAATAAAAAAAATCTATTGCTCAGTTTTCGTTAATAGAAGGGAAAAATTGGAAACTACATGTATGCACCATTTGGAAAGTGGTAGCAAATGAATGGTAATGCTCCTTCACCTCAAAGTATCTCTTTTTCTTCATAAATTTTCATTAGCACATAATACCATTTGGGACTTGCATTACCAGAGACATTAAGCTAATAATTTTCTTGCAAGATTACTCTTAAAATTCATTCCCATCACCACAATTTCTACCTGTCAAATGGGCCAATAGTTGGTTTAGAAATTGGTTTCTGGAGAAGGGTTCCTGTCTGACATGGCTGTATTCCTATTGGTTACTCTCTTCTTTCTCAGTCCCTCTCTATCTTCCTCATTGCTCTCTTTCTTTGCATTGGTGGGTGCCCCACTTTCTCCTTCTCCTTCGCCTTCCCTCCCTTATTTCCCCCGGTTTTTTTTCTCACTCTTTTCTTTTTTACTTGTCTTTGATATTACTCCTGTTTAATTGTTCCATATGGACTTTCACATTTGCCAATGTTGCAACTTTGACCATCAATGTATATACCTTATATAGAAGTAAAAATGATAAAACATTGTTATATTAAAGATTTATTTTATTTTATTTTAATTTTAAATGTAGTAATATATGATCAATATAAGACTTGTGAAATAAGCAAAAGTCAATTTGGAACCCAAAAAGAAAAAAAAAAAGAAAAAAGAAAAGAAAAGATAATATTTGAGGGAGTAAGTTTCAGATAAATGACAGAAGAATATCCAATTTTCAATTTCCTACTTTCTCATTCCTCTCTTCTTGTTGGCTTTCTCACTTTCTCTTTGGTATTAATTTTGGAGGTTATTTGTATGTAAAATTTACCGTCAACAATGAGGTGGTCACTTAAAGGGAGTAAAAAGAGTTAGAAATTATTATTATTATTATTATTATTATATTTATTATTATTATTATTATTATTATTATTATTATTTTATTTTTATTTATTTATTTATTTTTTATTTTTTTATCATTTGAGTAAAATCTTCATCCGTTTTGGGTTGTAATGATGTTATTGGGCATCATTGTTTAAAAGGACTAGGTGGTCTGTTGGTCTGGATATTCTGAAATAACGTATTGTATTATGGATGGTCCCATTAGATTGATTGAACTCATTTGCAAATGGAAAATTTGAATTTTGGTACCTCGAATATGGGGGTAATTGAATTTTCGTACCCGTTTAAAATTTATTTTTAAATTGGTTCCTCCAAAAACACATAACTGTAGCTTTCAGTACCTCCGTCCATGTTCCATTAAGATTTCTTTTAGTGGGGTCCATTATCTAATTTTTTAATAATTTAATTTATTAGAAAAAAAGAAAACATTTTTAAATTAAAAAATAAAAAAAATCTTAAAAATTTAAAAAAAACAACCAGCCAACGGCGACCGCCAAGCCACAGCAGCTGCCGCCGCGGCCAGGCACGAAGCCCAGCCACAGCAGCTGTCGCCGCGGCCAGGCACGAAGCCCAGCCACAGCAGCTGCCGCCGCGACCACGCAGAGGTACGTGTCCATAAACCCACCACCCACGAGAAACCCACCACACCCCACCACCCACGAACCCCCAAAACCCACAACCCCACCACCCACCACCCACGAACCCCGAAACCCCCAAACAAACCACCTTTCACCACAAAACGAACCACCTTATTTGAAAACCACCACATCGCCGCGGCCAGGAACGAGGAAGGGAGGGTAGATAGTGGGTGGTTGCGCTAGGGTTTCGGGGAAGGGGAAAACAGGGAGGGAAAGGGAAAGGGAAAGGGAGGGGGTGAGGTGCCGCGACCAGGAACGAGGAAGGGAGGGAAGATGGTGGTGGTTGCGCTAGGGTTTCAGGGAAGGGGAAAACAGAGGGAAAGGGAAGGGGTGGCCGGCGCCGGTGCCAGGGGAATTCGGCCACGAACAGGTGGCAGTGGTTGATTTTTTTTTTTTTTTAAATAAAACTTTTTTCTCTTTTTTTTTAATAAATTAAATTATTAAATAATTAGATAATGGCCCCACTAACGGAAAACTTCACGGAACTGGACGAAGGTACTGAAATCTACATTTTTGTGTTTTTGGAGGTACCAATTTAAAAATAAATTTTAAACGGGTACGAAATTTCAATTACCCCCATATTCGAGGTACCAAAATCCAAATTTTCCTTTGCAAATTGCTGTTGGATTTGTCTTCATGATGAAACAAAGGAAGATATCAACACAAGATAACTTAGAAGACTAGTAAGTCCATACTTCTCATGCTAATGGAAGAACACGGTACCTGTGAACAGAAACAAAACTCGGCCATTCCGTTATGGAACGGGCGCTTTGTAACGGGTTTCAGAGAGACCGAATCGAAAAACCCTGTTATATAACGGCGAGTCAAAAATCGCACCTAATGCGGCGCATCTCCCGTTCCGTAACGGTGGAACGGCGTTCGGGAACCGTTATAGGCATTTAACGGCCGTTAAATTTCAGAATTTCCTACTATCCTTTTTATGCTTTTGCGTTTTCACGGCTTCAAGCTTTTAGAGTTTCATAAATGGCGAAGGAGGTTGAAGATGGGTCAAGGTCAAACATTCAGACTATTCAACAGACAAAATTGTAGAGGAGACGGGAGAGAGAAATTAAAAATGAGTGGCTGAAAGATTAGACACTTGGACCCCAATTTCATGGAAAAAAACGCGGTCGCGTTTGTAGAAACGGTCGTGTTGTCGCGGAAATGGCTTGTAACAGTTAAATAGAACGGATCGCGGGTTTCACGGCGTGAATTTTTAAAAAAAAATCACATAAGCAAAATTTTTAGTTTGTAGACCCATATTCTTTGTTTTTATACCATATTATAGCCAAAACTATACTCAATAATAAATACTAAAGACATTATAATGTAGACCATGTAATAGTGCAATACTATCTACAGTAATATTCTAAAGATGTACTGCTTAGTTAAAAACTTGAATACTTGTACGTGTACTTTTAAAATTATTAAATCATTTTTTTTATAAAAAAAGGATAATGGAGGGTGGGTCCAAAAATATTAAAAATAGAAAGAAAAGGAAGTTAATTGAAATTGGGGTCCAAGTGTCTAATCATTCAGCCACTCATTTTTAATTTCACTCTCTTGTCTCCTCTTCTGTTGAATAGTCTGAATATTTGACCTTGACCCATCTTCAACCTCCTTCGCCATTTATGAAACTCCAGAACTCAAGCTTGAAGCCGTGAAATCGCAAAAGCATAAAAAGGATCGTAGGAATTTCTGACGGCCGTTAAATGCCTATAACGGTTCCAGAACGCCGTTCCACCGTTATGGAATGGGAGATGCGCTGGGTTAGGTGCGATTTTTGACTCGCCGTTATATAACGGGGTTTTTCGGTTTGGTCTCTCTGAAACCCGTTACAAAGCGCCCGTTTTATAACGGAACGATCGAGTTTTGTTTCCATGCCAATTTCAATTAACTTCCTTTTCTTTCTATTTTTAATATTTTTGGACCCACCCTCCATTATCCCTTTTTTATTAAAAAATGATTCAATAATTTTAAAAGTACACGTACAAGTATTTTAAGTTTTTAATTAAACAGTACATCTTTATATTAGAATATTACTGTAGATAGTACTGCACTACTACATGGTCTACATTATAATGTCTTTAGTATTTATTATTGAGTATAATTTTGGCTATAATATGGTATAAAAACAAAGAATATGGATCTACAAACTAAAAATTCTGCTTATGTGAATTTTTTTAAAAAAAATTCACGCTGCGAAACCCGCGATCCGTTTTATTTAACCGTTGCAAGCCCTTTCCGCGACAACGCGACCGTTTCCGCAAACGCGACGGCGACCGCGTTTTTTTTCCATGCCTGTGATGCATTCTTAGTGTTGCTACCTTCTTAGAAGTCAGAATTGAGATCTGCTATATGTTGTAGGAGAAAAAATTCAGTATTCTTGGTTTGTTCGACTGTTGAAGATGTTTTGCTCATCCATCGGATATTAAAAAAAAAAAAAAAAACCATTAATCATTTCACAAAGGTCGAATGGAGGTATTGGGGGGGGGGGGGTAAGAGTTATACAGTGGCATCTTGTACTTACTCCAATCATGCTACTATTCTACTGACTTATATCTGAAGTCGGATACCTGAACTTCCTGATAGGTGGAATTCTTATCTGGAGCAAGATATTCAATTGTTGCTTGAAAGACCCAATTGAAGCGACAACTGCTGTTTTCTCTAGAATGTGAAATCCTTGTCCTCTAAATCTCTAATTGCTTCATTTATCACAAATTTTTCCAATTAAGGCTTTATCAGGATACTATGCAAACTTTGACCAACATCTTTTGTTCTTAATCAATTGCATTTTTATTTTTGACCAGGATACTATGCAAACTTTGACCAACATCTTTATTACATATAAGTAATAAATGATGTTTAGAAACTACAAATTAAAACTCATCTAAAAGTTTCTCATGTGATGATTAATTTTTATTACATTTGTAAAAATATACAGTCAAAGTCTGTAAAGTTTGACCATCGAAGATATTTTACAAATGAAAAAAAATAGAGGAAGTGTTAATGAAAGCTAAGCTACTGGACTCTTATTTTCTTTATCAAAAGTGTTTTTGTGCTGGGCGCTGATATAGGAAGTAGTGATACTCTTTTATGCCAATCCTCAGCCCTCTTCAGCATGCATTTTAGTCTGTTTAAAGCAATTTTTTCTTTTACTACTCTGATTGAATGGGTTATACTTGTTTTTTCTCTGTTCTTTGAGGTATTTCTGTTATTATCTAATTTACTGCATGGCTCTTCTATCTATTAAAAAAATGCGCCTGGTAAATCCTATGATTTCCTTATCTTTTTTTTGCAGGAAAATTGTTCTTGCTACAAATATTGCAGAGAGTAGCATTACTATTGATGATGTAGTTTATGTTGTCGACTGCGGAAAGGCAAAGGAGACTAGTTATGATGCTTTGAACAAGCTAGCTTGCTTGTTGCCATCATGGATCTCAAAAGCGTCAGCACATCAGGTTTAGATTCAACGTCATAATCTTTGATAGAATTTAAAGCAACTTTTCTGAATTTTTAACATTTATTAACCCACTTTTCATTATGGTTGAAAATCTAATAGAGACGAGGTCGTGCTGGTCGAGTGCAGCCTGGAGTTTGTTATAGGCTGTATCCAAAACTAGTTTACGATGCAATGCCTCAATATCAGTTACCAGAAATTCTTCGGACACCTTTGCAAGAACTTTGTTTAAACATAAAGAGTTTGCAACTTGGAACTGTTGGGTCATTCTTAGCAAAAGCACTTCAGCCACCAGATTCTCTCTCTGTTGAAAATGCTATTGAACTTCTGAAGACAATTGGAGCTTTAGATGAAAGGGAAGAGCTTACTCCTCTTGGTATGTACAACGATTGTTTTGTCTTTTGCTTTTTTTTTTTTGTGTGTGTTGATTCTATGTATGTGCTGAATGTACTTAAATATTATCTGACGAGAACTTTGTTTGGAAATTCAACCTTGAATGAGTTGGCTAAAGGTTGAGTATTATTATATTTCTTGGTTGAGTATAATTCTTGCCTATCTCAAATTTCTGCCTTCTCATTTTTGTTTCTGCTCTTTGTCAAATGTTATGACTACTTGTTTCACTCTTAGTGAAGTCTTGATAAAGATTGTGAAGATAATTCACTAAACCCAACTTGTGGTTACATCTTTGTGTTCATATTGCACCACCTTAGCTCTACCCCCTTGTTACTGCAGCCATGTTGGTTCTTATTTCCCTTAATAACGATATTGATTTAATGCTCAATTGGAAGCCATAATCAATCATATTGACAAAGGCACCATCTTGAACTTGGATAGGCCGTAAAGATTTGACCCTGGTGACCAAAAACCTGGATTTTTTTACTTGCGTCTCTTGTCCCATGGCAGATTAAAGAAATCTAAAAAAATGTAACTTTACAATTACAAGACTCTTGCTCTATGTTATTTGACCCCTCTGAATTCATACTTGCAAATAAAATTTAGTGATAAAGGTGATGGCATACACCAAAATAATGATATTGCTTATATTGTGGAAATTTCTAATATTCATCATACACCCAAGGCTTTAAACATTTTTTATTATTTATTTATTTTTTCTGGTACATTTCTTCATTTGGCAGATAATCGATGAGCACAATATGTGTGGGTGTATCATGAGCATGGTGGGGAGTATTACTGTATAGTTGTATGTATAATGAGCTTTGATTGATTAGCATGCAATTGCAGCTTCTAGTCTTTGATAGGATAGCCCCAGCCGGATCGACCTATAAGAAGCCTTTTCTTTGCTGGCTTGACTCCAGAACTATTTCTCTCACTATAGAGATGATAAAATATTACTTTCTGATTAAATCTACTTCTCTTTCCTCTTCCTTGTAGCATAAGGAACCTCCTAACCTCCCCAAAAAATCCCTCCCGCCTTTCATCAGTTCATCTTCTTACTTTTAAAGCTACTAATTTGTCAATCACCATTTTGCTTCCATTTCCAGGATTAATTTTCATTTCCAGAATTAATCTTCTTCCTTCTTTTATTAGTGAAGCTTACAATTCGTAATTTGGTATATCTAGTGGTCTGGTGGGTGTATAGCAAATCACTTGCTATTAGTTATCAGTATTTTTCCTAGATCCATGTTCATTTAACCTAAATCCTTTTTTGTTTGAAGATAATATGATTTAAAGTGTTGGTCTAATGTGCCATGTGACTTTCTTGTGGGAGATAATAAGGAGATCGAGGATAAATAGAGGTCTTACTTTGATAGCCTAATCAATTTAGATCGAACCCGAGATATTGGTCATACAAGTGTCCCTCATGATATCGGGAGTTTATGCGAAGGATTCAAAAGAGAGGATTCAAAATAGCATTACAAAAAGATGAGATTGAAGAAAGTAGTTGAGCCTAATGACATTCCTATTGAGGTTTGGAGATGTTTGGGAGAAGGAGACCAAGTGAGATCTAGTAAGGAGGCTTTAAGAATTGCAAAGTGTTGTGATCGCGAGGGGTAGAGGAAGACCTAACAAAACTAAGAAGGTGATTGAAAATGATTCAAGTATTTTCAAGGAAAATATGATGTTGGATAGCGCGGTGTGGGAGAAAATTCACGTCAACATGTGCGTAATTATATTTATACTTTGTTTTACTTTAGCATTTACTTTATTATTTTATTCAATCGTATTTTTATTAACTTTACTAATTTCCTTTGCTAAAGTTTTCTCAATCCATTATGTTTTTACAACTCCTTTAAAACTTTCTTAAATTTTTTTTTTCTTTTTTTGGATGCTCTTTCTTTTGCTCACTTTACACTATTTTTTTCAAACTTTTTCAACTGGTTAACTGGTTATGTTCTTTTCTTTGTCGGACTTGTCCTTATCATTTATGTTAGCCGACCCTAAATAATTTTGGGACTAAGGCTTATTTAAAATATGTTTTGATCAACTTTGATGGTCTTGTACAGTGTCACACTGACATTCTTGATACTATTATTGAAAATTGAGTTACAACATGAAAATTATGAATAGAGACTCATGGCTTTCTATCATACTATTATCATTGTTATTTCTCTGTATAAAAAGTTCTGTGAAGAAAAGAAACTGCCTCCTCCATCGTCAATCCCAAACTAGTTCGAGCACTTTCCTTTATTTGTCCGTCACAAGTTCAAACGCTTGTTTGGAATAGACCATATTATTATTTTAATACAGAGTACATCTCGTTATCCATTACCAAAACAATTAGGGCCCTAGTCACACTCACATTCAATAAATTTCTATCATATCTACTTTTCTGATAAGTAATTCCCCATTATCTCTCATTAAATTAAATAAATAATTGAGACATCTCATCAGCTTATCTCCAAATCTCTGTGCCCGGGTGTTTTCAAAACGCCTGGACTATTAGAGTTCATTCTCCAATAATAATTACCTTTGAACATCTATGTGATTTATTGAACAGGCCGACATCTCTGCACTCTGCCTTTGGAACCAAATATTGGGAAGATGCTGCTCATGGGATCGGTATTTCAATGCCTGAATCCGGCTTTGACAATTGCTGCTGCTCTTGCTTATCGTAATCCATTTGTCTTGCCAATTAATAGGAAGGAGGAAGCTGATGCTGCAAAGAGATCTTTTGCTGGCGATTCTTGTAGGTATGGCCCTAAGTTTTATTAATCAACTCTAAGCTAGTTGATGAACTTTGTAAAGAAAAATGTCCATAGAAGGTTCTTATGTTTTTATTTTATTGTGTGATGTGCTTTTTGCAGTGACCATATAGCACTTTTAAAAGCATTTGAAGGGTGGAAAGAAGCAAAATGCAGTAGGACAGACAGATCATTTTGTTGGGAGAACTTCTTGTCACCAGTAACTCTGCAAATGATGGATGATATGCGGAAACAGTTTGTGGATCTACTTTCAGACATCGGCTTTGTGGACAAGGCAAAGGGTCCTAATGTGAGCCTTTTAACTCAATTGTTTCTCTAATTATGACATTTTGGATTCACATGCAGTAGGAAGACATTTGAAATCATCTTTCTCGTGAACTTTTTGTGTCTGATGGATATTTATCTTCATTAATCAAAATGATGTATTTAAAAGGACAAGACTAGTAAAGATCGGTTTGGGGTAGAGGTAGATGTGGCATTTTATATCAAATCTATATTAGAGAGTCCAAGCTCTGAATAAAATTTTGGTTGATTCTGACAGGATATTCATAAACAATTTTGAATGTGAAAAACTGCTTGTAATAAAAGGCAGGTGATAGTACTCCCTCCGACCCTAAAAGATTCCCCCATATACAAAAATAAGATGTCCCCTAAAAGATTGCTTTATACCTTATGTGGTAAATTATCTCATTTGCAAGTTGCAACCTTTCTTGCTCTCTCTCTCTCTCCTCATCAATAATTGTGTTCACCTATGTATACAAAAAGTGTTGCTTCTTTAAAAGTAAAATTGAGAGTTTGGGGCAATCTGTTAGGGATTATCAAACTGTTGATATATCTATTCAGTTGTCTGCATGCTGCATCTGTGTTTTCTTCAGTTGTAGCTGACACATTCAATCCCCTTAAATCTTCTAAAACCTAGATTTATGTGATCATGCAGGCTTATAACCAGTATAGTCATGATATGGAGATGGTCTGCGCTATCCTCTGTGCTGGGCTTTACCCTAATGTTGTTCAATGTAAGAGAAGAGGAAAGAGGACAGCATTTTATACTAAAGAAGTTGGGCAAATTGACATTCATCCTGCTTCTGTCAATGCTGGTGTTCATCTTTTTCCGTTGCCGTATATGGTTTACAGTGAGAAGGTGAAGACAACTAGCATATTCATTCGTGATTCAACTAATATATCCGATTATGCTCTTCTTCTATTTGGTGGTAGTCTCCTTCCTAGTAAATCTGGAGAAGGAATTGAGATGCTTGGGGGTTACCTTCATTTTTCGGCTTCAAAAAGTGTTTTAGAATTAATGAAGGTAAAAGCTTGCACACACCCCCCCCCTCCTCTTTTTGTTTAGTTTTTGTTTTATTTTTCCTACCCCTACATTGCCATTTGATTGAATGGGACTGACGCCATGATTCCTCAGAAATTGCGAGGGGAGCTTGATAAACTTTTGAGCAGGAAGATTGAAGAACCAAGGTTAGACATCACTGCTGAGGGGAAGGGTGTGGTTGCTGCTGTGGTTGAGTTGCTGCACAGTCAAAACTTCAAATACTAGATTTTGTTCAAATTGTATGGAGTCATTCACATATCAGTGGTGAGTATAACTTGATGAGCAGCTCTACAGACTTACAGGTATTCCAAATAGCCGCCTTAGGAAAAAAAAAATATATAATTATTATGTGTCCATAAACATTTTGTATACTATATTTTTGGTTATATAATTTTTGCCGATGCCATATACTATCAAGGATGATGTAGCTTGGTGAATAGCTTATACAAATATAGAGATTGGACAGAGTTAATGGGCATACCTGATAATAAACTTAAGGAGCAGTAAGTAGCAGTTGAGTAGAAGAGGGGTTATTGGGTTAAGTATTGGCGCATAGCTGCTATTTACATGCCAAGTAAATATTACATGCCAAGTAAATAGCAGCTATATGACAAAAGAGTGGTGATTTTTTTTTTTTTTTTTTTTTTTTTTTTTTTTTTCTTTTTCCTGTGGTGATTTTAACGTCTGAAGCTTTATTCATATCTGTTATTCCTGTTATTAGTTACTGCTTGTTCTACCTCTCTAGTGAGTTTACTCATTACCTTTTTTGGCGTGATGAATTTACTGATTGAATAATGGATTTTTTCCCAAATTGAGCTTTATTGGTAAATTATTTACCAAATTGGTCTTGTGGGAAAAGTATTTCCCAAACTAAGCTTCTGGGGTGAAACGCTGTCTCGGACAACGTTTTACACCCAGTTTTTTTTAAAAAAAATTCAAGAAGTAAAACGCTGTCTCAGACAGCGTTTTACCTTGTTGACCTGTTGGTATGTATTTTGACAAAATATACTAGTATATTTTGCCAAATTATACTACAATATGTATATGGGCTTTAAAACGCTGCCTGAGGCAGCGCTTTATGTTGAAGCATAAAACGCAGCCTGAAGCATAAAACGCAGCCTGAAGCATAAAACGCAGCCTGAGGCAGCGTTTTATGTTAAAGCATAAAACGCTGCCTGAGGCTGCGTTTTATGTTAAAGCATTTAACATAAAACGCAGCCTCTGCTAGACTGCATTACCAGCAGCATCTGCTACACTGCATCACCAGCACTTTCTGCAATCTGCTGCTGCCCCTACACATAACCCTCACCCAGCAGCATCAGCTCAGCCCCACCATGAACCACCACCCCCACCACCATCCACCACCATCAACCACCTCCCCCACCACCACCGGCCGCCACTCTCGACCACCCCTATGCAATGCAAAACACCCTAAACAACGCAAGGACATTCCCACCACCCCCATCATTAACCACCACCCCCACCACCATCAACCACCTCCCCACCACCACCGCCCGCCACTCTCAACCACCCATAAACTACCATAAAACACCCTAAACAACGCAAGAGCATTCTCACCACCAGCCCCAACCTTTCCACCACCATCGACCACCACCGACAACCATCAAACACTGGAAACAACCCCAACAGCATGATAACCATCGTGAAACAACACTTTAAGTGCAGGAGACCAAATATATGCTGCTTGATACATATAACGGATATAAAAGATATAGTTTCACTAACAAAAGTCAAATTCGGACAAATAAGGGAAATAAACTTCAAATTGTACAGAGAGTCATTTAGAAAACATTTCTTGTATTAATAATGTAAGCGTTATATACAACATTGTTAAATATCTGAGTACCACAAAAGGATCAACTAACTAATACTATTCGGACTCATGTATTGGAGTTAACTGATCTCCATCCTGTGTGTCCTCCGTCCGTCTACGAACACGCCTCGTGTAATGCTGAATGGTGGTGAATGGGTCTCGGGACGGTGGAGGAGTCAGCTAGCGAGATGATGAGTCATCCTGGCTGTGGCCGGGAGCGGTGTTATGGATGAAGTAATCCTCTGCCTGTGTAGAGCCCGAAGTATGACCTCCACCACTACTCTGTCCGAAGTCGAACTGTGAATGGAAGGAGTTGGGGTCATGATCGTCCCTGGGGTGGACGAGATGGCCATGGCCATATCTCTGGAAGCTATGTATGCCCATATCTCGCACCCGCTCAACCTGAACTCTGGTGGGTACGGAAGGCATCTGAAAGTGCATCAACCATCGCACCCATATCCCCCGCCTGCAGTAATCATCCATGAATTAGTAATATGATATAGAATTTCAAATAATTTTGGAAAACAAGAAACTGAAAAAACTCACAAGTCCGCTGATAACATCATAAGCTGGATGGTAGTGCGTGGACGGTGGGGTGTAGGTAGGGTTGATGAAAAGGTGTGTAATCTGCCTGTACCATACCATGTAAGGATCACGCGGATCCATAACACCCTGAAACAGGTGACCGTCAACGATGGACTTCAACCGCTGGTCTCAAAGCTCAATGAATTGATGATGCTCTAGTGCCCAGTTTGTCTCCAACTTTCCACGACGGTCAATGCCGTGGAGGCGAATACTAGTGTCACAGGGCATGGGGATAGGTTGGTGAAGTCCGAACTGTCGCAACACTTGGTCCGGTAGGTGGCTCTCCACGACCTCGAAACAGATCATAGGGGTCCTGGCAAGCCACTCAGCACGATGCTCGAGCAAGTGTTCCGGCATGGCCTCTACCAACACAGCAGAATAGGGATCCCATGTCATCTGCAACAAGGATATATCGTGAAAAGGTTAGGGCAATGCCAATAAACAGTATGAAGAGTAAACAAACGATTACAAATTTAGTGCAAGATTCCACCTGGTCATCCGAGAGTCGATCGAGGGCGTCACGGTAGTAGAGAAGACCTCTCGCTGTATGCGCATGTGTTAGTCTGGGAACCACCCACCTGTGGCAACAAATTATTTAAGAAGTTGTACTAGCTAATTATAACAAAATTTGAGTACACAAGTATAATGTTACGAACCTACAACCGTATGCCTGAGCGGGTTCAGGGAGCGGGGGAGCATCGTATGCTGCGTACTGATCGTCCTGGTCCAGCTGCTCTGGACGGTGTACAACAGGCCTACCTGGTCTCCCTACATGGATGTGCTCCCAAGCCTATAGCTGTTTTAAAAATCAAATAAAAGGTAAAGCATAAATAACGTCAAGTCATTATCAAACTAGGCTTAAGGATAATGATGAGGTTTACCTGTAACACAACCAAAGGACCTCCAATCAGCTGTGCTCCACGCTGTGATGCTCTACACAAATGGCGATACAAGACCGCCAAACAAGCACTACCCCAACTGTATCCACGGATCTCATCCCAGTCGTGGTCTAACAGCTGCAGGTAAATAATCTGAAGATGGCTTCCGCTCTTGTTTCCAAAGAGCACGCCCGAGATGAGCAGGAACAAGTAAGCTCGGGCGTATCTCTGCACTGTGGCGTCGTCAGCGTCCTGAGGTAAATGTCCAAAAGTGTCGCGTAGCCAATCGGTCCTCAGCGCGCTGCCCCTGATCTCGTTTGGCTCTGGCTGAACCCCTAAAACCCGACCTAATAAACCTGCGGGGTCAAGTACCACACCCCCTGTCACCGCATTCCCATGGATGGGAAGGCGTGTGAGTATCGCGACGTCCCGCAGCGTGACTGTCGCCTCCCCCACAGGAAGATTGAAGGAGTGTGTCTCCTGCCTCCATCTCTCAACTAATGCTGTGATTAGCCCTTGATCTATTTCTCTGTAACCCACGCGATGAATACCACCAAAGCCAACCCAGTCGACGTACTGAAGAACGCGTGGATCGACTGCCAGCCGGACCTCAAGTGCCTGCACCCCAACATTTCCGCTATGTCCACCTGGTAATTCATTTAAAAACTGTAAATAAGGGTCAAGTATACAAAAAAAACAAGACAAATCTGTATATGAAATGGCACGTGAGAAATTACCGTCTGCTCCCATATGTCAACACTCCGATGTCTATCCTGCAGTGTAAGGACAGAAGGGTCAAGTGGTCCTGGTATCTGATCGTGTCCGACCATGATATCTGTTCATTCAAAACAATATGGCCAAACTAATTAAAAAACAGAATTACTAGTCAATGAAATTGACATGACTGTCACAGGTAAAAGACAAGTACGAAATATAAGTCACCAAATCTCAAATATAATCCAAGCGTTACAAATGTTACATAACGTCATTAATCAACTACTACATGAGTCTACTGTTCTACTACTATAGCTAAACAATTACAAGCTTATGTTTCGGTTGATCTAGCTGGGCACGTTTTGCGATTGTGACCTTGTTGGTGACAGCGGCTGCATTTAGTCTCATTTCTTCTTGCAACGCAGATGAAGGACACTCTCATTTGAGGTCACTGTGGTGTAGAATTGATTTCTCTGTATAGAATACATCTTCACCATTTCTTGAAGCGTTTTCTTACTGTCAAAGTACATCCCCTTCTCGAATTCTCCCCCTGGAACAAATGATGTATGACTCCCTGAATTGGCCCAATACTCATTAACTTCATAATTCTCATTTATCTGACTAAACCAGGGTACTGCAGTTCTAACCAAGGGCTCATCAATTTCCATCTGCCCATCTTCAAGATCCATGTCATCAAGCCTATCATACTCCTCCCCATTATCATCCTCATCATCTGTATCCGCATACACATCGTACACCGACAATTCGTTATTCACAATATTATCAAAATGACTTGGGTCTTCTTGAGACGGTGATTCTTGAACCTCATCTCGCATCGGTGACGGAGCCACGGTGTTTGATGTTGAAGGACCGGATTGGCCGAACATTGTCACACAGCCCCCCGCATGTGCAGGTGATGCTATATGAGGACTAAACGGCATCTGAAATTGATCATCATGCAGCAAGCGACTGAAAGTTCCCATCCCATATTCATTCGATGGAATGTGGTTTGAAGGGCCTTGGAAGGACGCGGTGTTGTAATCGGAGACATATGTAGGATGTTGTTCTGCCCAAGTACTTTGTTGGGTACATATAGGCACTGTTTCTACATATATCTCATTGGGAACACCCTTCATTGTAACAATGCTTCTCAAAGCTTTTAAATGTTTGTTTGTGGAGACAGGTAACACTTGAACCCCATGCCCAGTCTCACACCTCATTTTAAGGTTCAGTTCAGCATTCATTGGGTTTGAGCCGATACTACTGTGAACCTCATTCATCAGATCATTCACAGTCATGTTCGGTTCAAGTGTTATAAGTTCCATATTCCCTCCACTGTACTCAACATTTGATCCATCGCACATAATTTCACCTCCCCACCGGCATAACAACACTACATTTTGTGAAGCCATATTCTACATACCAACCAAAACACATTTAAGGATAATCGAATTCTAAAACAACGTCAAAAAACCCTAATTTAACAATACATAACATACATAGCTTCGATAATGGAAAGTTATATCAAATTTCGAGAACCTACATGTGTAGCTAATATGACAACAATGAAACAAGTCCATTCTCATTATCAACATTTTCATCACCAATTTCATAAACTCTTAGTACCGCATACAACTATCAACATACTAATACCGCATTACCATCAACAATTTTATCATTTTTTTCACAATAATAGACCACATTACCATCAAGAATTTCATCAAAAACAAACCACATTATCATTGACAATTTCATCAACAATTTCGTCGACAATTTAATCAACACTTTCGTCTATATTTTTCCTCAACAATGTACCACATTATCATCAATAATTATCAACAATTTATCACATTTCATTAGCAACAAATTAATACAATTTACATCACAATTTGCTACAACATACAACAACTATCTACTACCAACTATTCAATGTAAAATACAACAATGTACTAAAAATTTAGGGTTTACTCGGATTTAAAGAGTGAGTGAGACAATGCCGGCAACAACTTCCGTTCACTTTGGCGGCGGCAGGGGCGGCGGCACGGCAGGGGAGGCGTTGGCAACGGCTGTGGTTCTTTGTTGCTGACAATGAGAGTTAGTGAGAGAGAGAGTGTAAATTGCGTGAAAGAGATTGAGAAAAAAGGCCTGGAATTCGTTATAATTCCCGCAAGAAACGCTGCCTGAGGCAGCGTTTAATGTACAGATAAAAAAGCTGCCTCAGGCTGCGTTTTATGCTTGTACATTAAACGCTGCAGCGTTTCATTTAAAGATATAAATGCTGCCTCAGGCAGCGTTTATTTGTATAAAACAGGTATGAAATACGAAGTTTTTGAAAAAAGTCAAACTTCCATAAAACGCTGCCTGAGGCAGCGTTTTATGTCTTGAATTTTTTTTAAAAAAAACTGAGTGTAAAACGCTGTCCGAGACAGCGTTTCACCTCAGAAGCTTAGTTTGGGAAATACTTTTGCCACGAGACCAATTTCGTAAATAATTTCTGTATAAAGCTTAATTTGGGAAAAAATCCGAGTAATTGAGAGTTGCATCACTCGCAAGCCAACACAAGCCAACACTGGCGCACTCAACTCCCAACAACAACACACTAAACACAATCGAATTGAATGTCTATGCGCTGCTTCGCATTCTCCACAACAAGTGTTCCAACCACTTTCTCTCTCCTCAAACACCTCACTTCTTCTTCCATTTCCAAACCTCCTCTTCTCCTTCTCCATTGCTCTCTTTTAACATCCATGTCTTCCCGCCCTAACTTCCAAGGCGGCCGTCGAGGCGGCGGCGGACGGGGAGGCGGTGGCGGAGAGCAGCGATGGTGGGACCCTGTTTGGCGAGCTCAGAAGCTTGCGCAGAAAGCAGCTGAGGTTAAGTTTTGCTTGTTTTTTTTCTTGCGTGTTTATGAAGTTTCTAATGTTTGATTAGATTGTCAGTTTTGATTGTACAATTGATTTTTAGGGTTTGTTTTGTTGATTAATTGATTGGAGGTTTGTTGTTGATGATGTAGTATGAAGTGTTGGATGAGAATGAGTGGTGGAATAAGATGGAAGGATTTCAGAAAGGAGGAGAGCAGGAGTTGATATTTAAGCGTCTTTTTAGGCGGGAAGATCAACAACTTCTCTCTGATATGGCGCAACAACTTGGTCTTTACTTGTAAGCAATTGCATTTCAAGTTATTTTATGGTTTTGGTGGGAATGTATTGAAAATATTGTATCAACGTGTTTCTGCTGATTGTTGTTCTTGTTTGATATGCATTTATGGCCTTATGGGCGTGCGTGTGCGTAAGTTGTATGTTGATTCTTACGTTGTATGTTGACGTTTGTTGTGTGTGTGCGTAAGTTATATGCTGAAAACACTGTTTTTTTTGCTGCTGTTTGATTTGCGTGTGCGTGCGTGAGGGTAAGTTGTACTTCATCCGTTTCTATTTAGTTGACGCATTCAATTTAGACACACATATTAAGGAGAGGAGAGAGAATAATACAACAAGTGGGGTAGATTAGTAAATGCAAAGTATAAAACTTACCCAAACAGAAAATTTGTCAACTAAAATTAAACTTCCTAAAAAAAGAACACGTGTCACAAAAAAAAAAGGAGGTAGGGAAAAAAAAAATGAAAAAATACTATGGATTTTGTTGTGACCAAAGTCACTAGAATGAGTTTAGATTCACCGAATCGTATGTATGCAATCCTTTCAATTGGTGGTGTTTTGAATGGCTTGGAACATGGGGTTATTGTTCGTAGCTAAAGCTTTAGGGCCTGTTCTCATACGTTTATTTTCAGCTCAGCTCAGTTCAGCTTTAGGGCCCTAAGTGTAATATTCTTTGCATGTCTTTTTTATTGGCCTTGTTAGTCCAGAATAATAATCATGAAGAGGCAAAGATAGAAATATAGAATACAACAAAACTAATGCCGAAGCAGTAATAGATGGGTGCTGTCCACGAAGATTCTCTTCCTCCATTCACTCATATTAAGTGCTAGATACTCTTGCAAACCTATTTTCTTCACATTATCTTTACCTTTTCAGTTCAAATTATTTTGGCATATCTTGACAACTTTTAACGTCTCTACAATCCCAGCTCTCGCTCTTAGCTTATTTTGGAAAATTACTACCGTCTCGTTGCTATCTTGATTTAAATACTGATATTTTTTTAAAAAAAAAGGTTGGGGAATTTCATATGGGCTGTCACGACACAATAACTTGACACGAACCCGACTCGAAATAAGCGGGTTTTGGTCATGTAATCTCGACGTGTTTATATAATTGGGTCGACACGAACCCGACACGAAATTAAATGAGTTAGGTTGGGTTGAAAATTTTAACTCGAAACCGGTAACTCGAAATCGACACGCATAACCCGGTTATATATATGGGCGATAACTCGCTAACCCGACCCTGACACACTTAGCCTATTATTTAAGTAGTAAAAAATCCAATTTTTTTTTTCTAAACTTGTAATTTCGTAAATTGCCTTGGCATTATGTATACATTTTGGTTGTTTCAAAAAAAAAAAAAAATGTATACATTTTGGTAATTTTTTGGCGGATAATTTTTTTATTCGTAAATTATAATTTAGCAGTTAATTTGGGACAATTCTTATGTAAGGTTGGGTTGCTAAAACTACTACCTTTAAACTCTTGTACTAACTTTTGCTAAAACTACTAACTCTTGCAGTATCTTTAATGAATTAATGATGTACTTATGATTTTTAAATTAAATCCTATTAAGGGATTTTCCATATAGTACCACTATACAAATATACAGTTGTCTTTTCCATATGGTACCCAAAATTGTTCTTTCTTCCACACTGTACCACTGAAGATTAGTGTTAATTGAAATCGTAACATTTAGGGGGCGTTTGGTTCGCAAACTATTATGGGGGTGGAATCAAGAATGAATCCATAGTGGTATGGTTTGGATTTTGATTCTTAAAACCATATGTTTGGTATGCTTATGGAATGCAATTTTTTTTTCTTTTATTTGATGCCTAAAAGTATGGGAATGAGCCAAACCCACCTCCCCCCAAAGGTTTCTAAACCCCATACCTTGGGGGTTTCAGGTATGGGTTTGAAACTCTTAAAATCATAAAACAAACATAAGGTATGGGTTTAAACCATTCTAAATCCATACCTTATACCTTAATTATGTGGACCAAACGCCCCTTAGTTCATTAGGATGTTAATTACACATTTCACGGAAATTTGACGTGTTTGCTTTTTTTTTTGGGAAATTACATTTTTACCCTTAATTTTACATTTCTCCCTTTTCCCTCAACTTTCCTCTGTGATGTTCATGCTCATTCCCCTTCTTCTCTCTTCTCCTTTTCAAATTCATTCTCTTTCTTCTAGTTTTTTTTTTTTTTTTTTTTTTTTTTTTTTTTTTTTTTTATGTTTTCATTAATTTGCTTTCTATATATTTTTTAACATATATATTTGATTTTTGTTTAAATTTTCTGCCAATTACATCATATAATGCTGATTTTGTTTGTGAATTACCATTGAAATTAGTGAAATAGTTGATTCGAGGAGCAAGATTCGCATGAATTTGACTAATATTTATGTACGAATTAGCTTTAAATTTGGTGAATGAGTAGATTTAAGCTATAATTTTACTCCGTATTATTTTTCTTCTTTTGTTGCAATTTGCAATAACATATCAAATGTTGGACTTTATGATTTTGATGATGACACAACTTAACTTACTTACAGACTCATTAGAGTTTGATTGTTTAAGTGTGTGATAAGTTGCAATGACTAGGAGAATTAAGTGTCTTGCGAAGATACCATGACGAACAAGATAGCCAAGAACAAAGCAATCCAAAAAGAGAAGGTTTACCTCTTAAGAACGGGTGCTTTAGGAATGAAGACTTGAGAAGAGAATTTGACTGTGGAAGATAAGTTTCTTCCAAGGAACAGAAGCCTTGGAGTAGATGAAAACTAATATATTTTTATATTTTAGGAGTCATGCAAGTATAAGGATAATATTACACCTGAAATAGCTGTGTGGAATTGGTATAAAAAGATTAAATTGTGCATGTTTAGTTTTAGGGAAACAGTTGGCTTTGAAATCTTATCTCTTTAAAAAAAGGATTTTATTTTATTTTCAAAAATCATTTAAACAAATAAAATCTGTTTTGTTTTCAAAACTTGCTGCATACTCCCCATGATCTTTCTTAAGTCATGGCTTGGCACATTGACGAGTTCATGTCCTTAATTTTAGGACATATTCTTCTTAGTGGGTTGGAGTAGTGGCGTCATGCATAAGCTGTACAAAGAAATTTTTCCAAAGCGAATTTTGGTCGATAAATATTCAGTTGATTTCAGTTGGAAAAACTCACTCTTACTCAATAAGATTTTATCTTTTGTTTTCTTTAATTGAATCAAGAGTCCAATTCCATATTAGTGAAATAGAGTATTATAATGCTCTTATACTAGAGTGTATTCTTTCGAGTTGTATTTGTGGAATTGGGAAGTTGGAGTGAACTTCTATTTAGGAGAAAGAGAAGAGAAAAAGAAGAGAAGAATAACAAGTTGGGTGACTTGTTGCTTGGGGCTTTGAGTTCGTTGAGCAACTCGAAGTTAGAGTTTTTAGTTTGTAATAGGTCTTTTTGTCCTATTCTAGTGATGATTCCTAAAATCCCAAGTGGTCGTGATTTTTCTCTTTGTTTAGAGACAAGGAGTTTTCCTCATAAAATCTCTCTTGCACTTTTAGTTCATTTAGTTTACTTTGTTTTTATTTTCGCAAAAAGTTTGACAATCTGTCATACTACAATTCAATACACCTTTCTTGTAGTATTCATTGAAACAAAAATTGGTATCAGAGGCTAACTTCTAGGAGAGTCAAGAAAACCCTGCGAAAGGACATGGTGTGCATAACTTGCTCAATATTAGTCGGCATGAGAACTCGGTGGAGCCGGAATGGACATGTATTATGCTTGGGGTGGCCGAGAACCAAGGTCTAGCAGCCCATTGGGTTGGAACTTGCGAGGGGTAAGGGAAGAGAGGAGTAGCCTAGGGCCCCTGGTTCAAGTAACCCCATGGCCCAGGGTACATCTAGCCTGCTGTTGTGGCTTGCCGAAGTGCTGCTGCTGTTGTGGCTGCCTGTCAGACTACTGGTTGTTCCGACCATTGTTGTGGGCGGAGCCCTTCTTCCCACCTTTGCCCTTTATATTATTCCGACCACTACGACTAGGAAAATTCCCACGAGTAGATTTGTGTTGTGAGATTTTATTGCCTTGATGTGCCGAAGACCGAGCAAAGTGTGCCTCCTCTAGCGAACTGTAACAGAATTCGTAGAATTACTTTACTCCTAAAGTTTAAGCATAGAACGCAAAGCATCAAACGCGGGCAGAGGGTTAAGATGCCGAATGGAGGTACGAAAAGGCTTATAGTCCTCCGAAAGCCCTTTCAAAAGCTAAAGCGCCATCCTATTATCTGAGATCGTGTCTACTACATTCCTTAAACTGTCGGCCAAAGATTTGAGGCAAGAACAATAGGGTTTATCACCCTCGAAATGATCGAGTTTGGTGTTGGTGAATTGCGCATTAAGGTCTGGCAGACTTGTTGTTGAGAAAAAAAATTCTTGATACACTTCCAAGCATCAATAGCCTTGTCATCGGGACTGATAATGAAATTCAGGTCAGTGGAGATAGTATTGTAAATCCACTGACGAACAATGTCATCAAGTCGTTGCCATAGAGCTTGTTTAGAAACTTCAGGAGCCTTTTGCTTCTCATTTACAACCGGTGGTATGATATGGTCGATCACTTAATTTGTGCGGCAATGGAGGTGGAATAAAGTAGACCAAGTGTTATATTGAGTTCCATTGTAATCAAGAACAATATAATAGGAGTGCAAGTCTTGATGTTTGTGACAAGGGTGGCTGGGTGAATTTTCTTTTTGGCCATGGAGGGAAAACCGAAAAAGAGAGACTAAGAGAGGAAGGAGAAGAACAGAGAAGATGAGCGGAAGAGTATTAGGATTTTTGATTGAAAAACCTAGACTCGTGATACCATGAGAGAATATGAGAATATTTGTCGTTCCTTTCTCATTGATTGAATGTTAATATTTATACAAGCGAGTATACTAGGGTTAGGGCTAGGGATACATTAGTAAAATACAAATTAATAATATACACTAGATTATATACATAATCTAACACACTACTCAGCTAAGTAACATCTTATTTAACGCATTGTTACAATTTCAATTAACACTAATCTATCTTCGATGGTACCATGTGGAAGAAAGAATAATTTTGGGTACCATGTGGAAAAGACAGTTGTATAGTGGTACCATATGGAAAATCCCTTCTATTAATTAGTTTATTGCATACTATGTGGGTAAAAGGTTACACGGATAATTTGTTTACTAA